CCCTAGTGGCTCCCTATTGCTATCAATTACTGGTGATATAGATCTTATTGTACTTCTCATATTTTCTGGTCAACTATTGTTTCTTTTGAGTCTTACTGTTGGTATAGTTTCTTTTTCAGTTTTCATGATATCTTTATTACTTTTTCTATCTCTACTTGCTCTTTTTTGGCTTATAGGATCTTGTTCTCTTGCTTTTTTAATTATTATATGTACATTGCTTGACCTAACTGAGTCAGCTGATGCCTTGTTATAATAATAATTTTTTGCACTCCATCCTAGCTCTTGATTGTCAATCTTTATTTGATGCTGGAGTGCCTTTCTTAGATCTTTTTTATTCTCAAAGTACATTACTGCATAGTTTTCTGATACCAAGGTGATCTTGTTTTTTGGTATATAGAAGGTCTTAGCCTTCGTATGGTTTAAGATATCTTCTATGGATTTTGTAGATAACCCATTAACTCCATATAGTCTTAAGGAGTATTTCTTTCTCTCTTTTAGAATCTGAGTAATTTCTTGATCGTCTTGTTCCTTGTGAGCTATCACAAATCATACTTGATTAGATTTTATCTTAATTATCCATTCCTTGTCCAAGTTGATATACTCTTAGTGAACATAAAGATGAACTTTGAACCATTTTTGATAGAAAGATGTTCTATATTCATAAATATTGATAATCGTTTCAAACTTTTCCATTGTTTGTCTGATCACACATTTACCAAGCTTATGATTTGTATCTATTAATATGATATATTTTGATCTATTTTTAGCTAATGGAAAGTTTTCTGATTTGAAGAACTTTTTGTTCTAAGCATATCTTTGAAAAGCCAATCATGTGCTCATTTCTTTGTCCATTCTTCTAAGTGTAAAGTTCTCAACTTCTTTTCTGTTAATGGCCTCCAAACATCTTGCTGCATCTTCTTCTTCATCAAAACCAAATGTAATCCAATGGTTGCCATTAATAAATTCTGTTTTAAAGGGATTCATTCGCTTAGGTATTTTTAGAGCTCCTTTGAAGTACGTAATTCCCTCTTCTCTATTTTCTCCTGACAACATAGCTTGGAGTACCCCCACCTTGATTGATCCTTGTTGTTTTATGAAGAATGGGTTTACTGTTGTCCCTGAACCCTGTTTCTTGTATTATAAGACATACTATCTATAATACAGCTTCCCTGCGCTATTTCTTTTAGCACTTCTGTTTCTATTTGTTCCATTTGTTCTATCACTTCTCTATCCTCCATTATGACTTTCTTAATGGAGTGTACTTCTTCGAGTTCTGTAGAAGTTGATTGAACTTCCATTGGGGTGCTTTCCATCATAGAAACTTTAACTTGGTTAGGACTTATTGCTTATCTTACTGGCTTACTTGTCAACATATTGTACACCTTTTCTTCTAGCATAGGTGCTTCCAGCTTTTTCTTTTTACCTTACCCATTTTTTCAGAGAGTGAGAATATATTGTCACGGCATAAATTCTTTCGCCATCACCAAAGGATCTATTCTTAATAGATTGGTGATAATATTATTTAGTATTGAGGAAATCTGTATTGACTTAGCAGGGATGTGGTGTTAAATAGTTGTTGTTGGTTTCAGTTCATACTATATCATTCTTGTTTCCCAGAGTACTTGTTGAGGATCTTGATGAGATGCTATCTTTCCTAATACTTTCAATAGCTCCTTTTCTCTTTTCTCTAGGATTCTGATTATTATTTATTCTTTTGTTAACATATTGATATATGATATGAAGAATTTAACATATATTATTGTTATATGAATGTCTTTTTAACTACGTGATCAGATAAATACTGTTATGTATTATTTTTTCATTTAATGTATATGACAATAAGTTGCTATATTGATATTAAAAAGTCTATAACACATGGCTACTATATGTTTACATATCCAATATTTGTTTATTAACACATAACTGGTTATAATCAACTGTTGATTTTGTTTTAGATAACATGTGCTGTTGATTCTACACATTCTAGTTTGTTGATCTGTCACGTCCTCTTATTTTGCTGTAGATTGATCAGCTTGCTTTGATACACGTCAATCAGGTGGAGAGTTAACGTATTTGTGTTCACATGATGTGAAATAGTTGATCTGGAATTGTTGTGTTGTTGTGATCTTTTAGCTGTTTGATCAAAGAAACTTGGACGTTCTCCTGGGTTTTAGTTAACTTTGAGATTGTGTTAATTTATCGATATAATCTATTGCTTCTGAGACTTTTCTTAGTGTTTGGAAAGGTATTAACATGCACTGGCCTGGCTAAGAGCTTTGTGGAGTTGAGGTTGGGTCTCAAGAAGTCTACTGTGAATCAGCTTATTTTTGCTTTTTCTCTTTCCTAAAAGCAAAAGTGATCTAGAAATATCTGTCTTTTTTTCAAGCTGAACGAAACTCTTTTTTTATTTGTTGTAAAGTAGATTTTGTTGTCTATAAATAGATGGTTGTGTCCTTTGAGGCTTGTTTTTGTGTAGAAGAGTTTTTAAAAATTATCAAAAAAGAAAATTTTTTGAAAAAATGTAGATCAGCGTAAAGAGTTTTTTTTTTTGTATCATTTTTTTTTTTTTGAATTTAATTTAAGTTTTTTTTTTTTTAACCCACAGTCAGGTCAATATGGCTTGTTCATTTTATTGTAAACATATTTGATATTTACGTATTTTATGATTTTTACATATTAACTTACCCGTCTACAAAGTTTAATCTTCTCTAGATGCAACTTAGGAGATGATATTTATTCCCTTTGTGGCGTGGATTATCCTTTAGTCACTTAGATTATTGCCTATAGCTTATTACTATAGTTGAATTTAATTTAAGTATAAAGTTTATTAAAATATATATATGATATAAATATAAATAAATTTAATAAATAAAATCTTAGGTTATCTATTTAAAACAATTAATTTTTAAATATATAATTAAAATTATTTAATATTTAAAATAAGTAAAATAATTTACTTGATTGAATTTATTATATTTGATAAATATGTCATATATATTTGATTTATTATCTTATTGATTAAATAAGATAAATATGTAATAATTAAATTAAAAATTAAATAATATATTATATAAATGTCACTTTATTTTATTAATTAAATTTATTTATTCAATCAAATATATTTTTATTATATTTGTCATATAATCTAAAAATAAAACTAGAGTAATATAATAAAAAAGTTTTATAATTGATAATTGAAAAAAAAAATATAATTACAATATATATTACTTGTCAATAAAATATAATTCAATAATATACTATAAGTTAAATTGTTTGTTAACAAAATAACTATAGTTATTTATTTATATATTATTAAAATTTTACTTTAGCTTAAAAATTTTTACAAAAAAAAATAATAATAATATAGCAAAATATGAGCTTGTCTAGTTTTAATTAATAATAATTTAATATATCAATTTAGAATTTTCTATTGAAAACTATTTTAAAATACTATCAATGGTGGTTGATTGTATTTTTATAATAATCAACTTGTTAATATTAGTTCAATATTTTTTATTAAAAGTAATTTTATAAACTTGTTAAATAAAAAACTTTTTGATTTTTTTTAAAAAAATACTAATTATTAGTTTTAAATTGTTTTTATTTCTTGAAAATATATATTATATTTTCTGTATTAGTATTTTTAAAATAAATATATAGTATAATAATAGCAAGATATCAATATATTATATATAGCATATCAACTTACTTATATATATAATGGATAATAATAATATAATAAATGATCTTAATTAAAGAAAAATTATAATAAATAGTAAAAGATAGTATAACTAATATAAGTAAGTATAAAATTTTAAGTATGCAAGTAATTAAAAACATATTTTTGATAGAAAAATAAATAAAAGGTAACTTTATATTTTAAATATAATTATGATAAAATATAAAAAGTACAAATATTTAAAGTTAATGCAAATGTAAAAGTATATTGAACTTATAGATAAAATATTTTATAAGACATGAAGCAACAAATATAAAGAAGAAGCAATAAAAAATAACAAAAAATTCTTATTTATTTATTTATTATTTAATCATATCTCTTTATTTAAATTACTCTTGTTTTCAATTGTTAACAATACACTGTATATGTGCATATTTTTTTATCACAAATGAAAAAAAAATGAAAATGCGTAAAGACATCATTTTAAACTTTAAAATAATATAGACTGTATATTATTATAGAATAAAAATTTTAAGTTTCGATGTTACAGTATTTCAATTTGCTTTGATATACTGTATCGATATGAATACCCTCGTTTATGTAATATGTACCACGATATGCAAAGCTTATTTAAAAACCATCAATGACACAATTCTTAAATATTAGATATCGAATTTCGTAAAACGATATATTTGGAAGTCGTTCGAATTAATAAGGTCAAATAGGGTCAAGCCCAATTTCGTTGGTGGAACCGGGTCGGTTAATCCAAACCGGTTTGTCTGGTGTGCTTTATCGAGCCCGTATAATTCATAAACTCAAAGGGTTCACGTATCTTTCACCTAAGGTTCGACCAATGATAATGATAAATTATTAGATGATAATGCCATTGAAAATGCGATAAATTCGAACGGCGTATGTGTCAACATATAGAATGCTACAATGTACGTAACGTACTGCACGTACACCTTGTGCACCCGCGCATTAAAATATATTAAAACTACCGTAAACATATTTTTATGTTTTTTGTATGTTACATTTGTTTTGCACACAATTTGTTGTATGCACGCACAAAAAAAAAAATTCGCAACGCTTATAATCGCCATGACCCCCAAAAGGATTCCTCCTCCTGGTCTTTCTAGCGAGGACTTGTGAACGTAACAATTGACCAAAATTTCGACCTTTTTTGTTCCTCATCTCGAATTTATGAATTTAAGATAAACCTTTTTATGAATAATAATAGTCTTTATTAAAAGAAAAAGAAAAAAAAAAAATCAAAAAAATGAAACGTTACTCTACTATTGTAAAATGTTCTCTGGGATTCATGGCGCTATGCGCCCTTTTGATTCGACCGGTGATATCGGACTGCTTAACTTCTTTTGATCCCACAGTGGATTATTTTCCTAGCAAAATTGGTAAAGAATGGCATTTATCATGAATTTTCTAGGCGGAATTTTGCGAAATTCTACTGACACCATACCTTCCTAGATGTCGGTCAAGCCGTTTCCGGGTTCGTGGTAACCTATTTTAACTCATACAAAGTTGTCACAAACACCCGTGCCGGAGAAAACTATGTACTTTATTGCACCGCTGCTCCGCCTAACGTTTCCGACGTAGTTGCTGACGTCAAGGGGTTCTTCCAGGTGCCGGTGAGGAATGTGGCGAGTTTGGACCAGACCACTCTCACATTCTTGGAAGTAAGTTTATTCTAAACACGTGATTTATTTTAGCTGGACGGGGCGTGAACGAACTGATTTGGTTTGATTTTAAAGATCATTGGAGCTCAATCTTCGCTACAATATGTTGAGGATGAGCACAGTATCACATCACCATGTCTGCAAAAAGATCTCGCAATACAACCTTTTAATGATTCCGACTTGGCGAATGTCGATATCGTGTTCTCTAACTCCATTGTATATAATGCAAGTAAATACGTGACTGTTTCCCTGGGTGATGACCTCTCACCTTTATCGGTAATTTGGTTCATTCTCGTTTATGGTTCGAGTTAACGACGTCAGCAATCTAGTTCCTAAATTCGAAATTGACAATTTCCAAAATATACCTAGAATGCGAATTGGGTGAAATTTGTTTCGCTCTTCTTCAATCTCGAGGCGACGGCAAACAGCGCTTATTCTTCCATGGAGGCAGCGTATTCTTGCAATGCCAATAACGTGGCTAATGTCACGGATCGAAAGACAATTGTCTGGGTAGCTTATGATTTTAATAGTGGGATGTTTACCATCGACACGGACAATTTTTACTCCTCGTTGGTCATCGATGCAGGTACGGAAAGGTTTTTTTTCTTTTCGTTCCTAGCAATTTCCATTATAAAAGTAGAGTTTACTTACAAAAATCTTCCTTCTTTGCTCATGAAGGGGCCAACTCGCCGGACATTATCAGCGGTTCGTTAAACATGAGCGACTTGCATGAAATTATCAACAGCGCCTACATAGTCATAGATCAAACCAATTTCACCACTGGCAATGACACGTTTGAAACCTGGCAAAGCCTTTTTGGTTATTATGCAACATCGACTAGTTCATCGGTACCCGATTTCATCACCTATCGACGCGTATACCATCCCAAAAAACTCATAAACACTTATGGATTCGATGATTGGACCGAGAGAGTTCGTGCTCGTCCCGACCTCGCCATACTTGATTTAATTGCCATTCAATATCCAACATATCTCACTTCGTACAGTACCACATGGCTAGACAATTTTTCACAGTCTGATCAGCCCAATGTTATTACCATGGCCGATTGCACAACCGATAATCAGACAGTGCTCACTTGTGAACCACAACAGTTCACCGGTGGTCAAACTAACAACCCAACCGACAAGACCGGGGGTAACAATAAACTACAAACAAAAGCCATATTGATCATCGCGTTTAGCGTTTTGGCGGGATTGCTGGGAGTCACGGCCGGTATCTGTTTATTGGTATTTGCGAGAAGAAGATATGAAGAAAGATTTTTGGAGTTGAAGGATGAGCCGGAAGTTCAGAAGGAGAAGGCTGATGAAAATAAAGTTTAAATGGGATCCACTATTCGCAGGAAGACTTTCAGTTACGATATTTGGGAAAACGATCAAAAGGAACCGAGAATCTTACATTTAATAAGCCACAAGCAATGGATTTAAGACTTTAATTGATGAGATCAAGATGCAATCGACTCTTTCTTAGCATTAATGTGTTCGTTAATTAGCGAATTGTGTATTTCTATTTTCATTTTTTTTTTTTCTTTGAAAGATATAACGACTCCAAAAAAGCTAATAAAATTATTTATTTGGTTTTTCCTTTAGCCAACCAATGGCACGTGACTTTATTAAGCCATGCAATTTACCTTTTTTATGTTGTACCACTACTTTGTCTATTGCTCATTCTATCACAAGTATTAATTAATTCCTTAATTCTGCACGACATTATAATCTATATGAGACGTCGAATGAGGTTTCATTAAAAATGAGTCATCTATATTCGTCTAAATCTGCACATTGTTCTCATCACATCATTTCTAAAAATACATTTTCATGAGTCATTTTCTTCGACGAAACCCTCGGTTTCGGAATGCTTACTCTTTAAATGCCTATTCAGATCATACTGACGTTTGAATTTATACGCACAACCTTCTACCGTACATTCAATATCTCTACCTCGTTCGTACCCAAATCCAGTGAGATGTTCTATTTTACTAACACGACGATTTATATCATCATTTACATCGGTCTTTCTGATATTATGTGGACGGGGGTTCTTGTTTGTTTTTTTTTATGTTAATGATGTTAGATGGATTCTGAAATGGACAAAAGAGAAGCCGAAAAGTAGATTTCGTGGGCGTCCTACCGTATGTAAAGACTTGATGTGCTTGTTAAGAACGTGTTTGTAAGTAAATGACATTCCACATCCGGTTTCGTTGCATGAGAATGATCGAACATTCTCGTGCACAGCTCGGATATGTTTATACATTGCCTTTTTCTGTATTAATGTAAACAATGAAATAAATAAATAGAATTTTTTTTTTTTTTTTGAATAAAATAGATTAAATATGGCTTCATTTTCAACACTCACATCATAATAATACTTGTCACAATTATCCCAATCACAAGGATACATTATACGATCGGGATCATGAGTTCGCATGTGTCTGCGCAAAGACGTCATATCTTTCACCTGTTTTCCACATATTTCACATATTGGCTTGTGAAACATGCGCAAGTGTAATTTCATGTCGTCGGCCTTCGGGAACTCATATTCGCATCCTTGAAATGTGCATCGCCAACGATTGTGATCTGATCGCAAGACGTTGAGTATCAGAATATATATAATACGAGAATCGAAAACACAGTAGACGTGTAAAATACCGAAGTGAACACGGCTATGAATTCTTAATTTGGTTGATGTCGAAAAACTTTTATCACACCCCGGCCTCTCACATGGATATGGCTTCTTTCCTGTGTGTACGGTCACGTGATCCCTGAGCAAACGTGCATTCGCGAAAGATAATCCGCAATCTTCTTGATTACACTGATTTGAAATGTGAGATGAAATCATAAGCCACAAATATCTTCACTTTCGTGAAGCTGAAAAATAATTAATCTTTACCTTGTACGTTCTCTCGGCTTCATGTATTCGCCTTCGATGCCTGGAAAGATGATGTTTCGTCGAGAAACTTGAATCGCATGCTGAAACCTGACATTTGAACGGTTTGGAGTCTTGCCCGTGCACAACAGCGTGACCTTGTAAATGATCGAGACGCCTGTATGACTTGCCGCAACCGGAAACGGGACACTTGAATGGTCTCTGATGGTATTCAAGCGTATTTGTAAAACGAGAAAAAAAAATTATCAAGGAATCGTGATCACTTATTGAAGTAAGATGTTTACCAATTCCGTGTGAGAGATCTGATGTCTTTTTAAATTGGATTTAACCTTGAACGCCTTATTGCATTCCTTGTAATCACACTTCCAGGGGCGATCAATTTGCAACACGCCTCTTTCATCCATGATTGCTTCATCAATTTCCTTTTCACTACCGACAGGCGAAGAATTCATGTCCAACCTCTCTTCCTCACCTTGCGACCGAAAAAACTCTAAATCATTTTCCGACGATGCAATTTTTTTTTCTTCTGAATCATCCGAAAACGACATTGAGTCTTCTTCGCCTTCCATCAGCCACTGACACAACGACGGTTGTGTGATTTTAAAACATGCAGATTTGCGATGAACGTGTTGGACGTCTTAACAGTGATTATCGATAATGATCTACGTTGTGCGACCACAAAAACCATATGTCAAATCCCGAGGATACTAAAAAAAAAAAAATGCCAATACCTCAACATATAACTCTCATTATTCGCCTTGATAACCTATGCAAAGATTGGTCATCGGTTCACAGGCGTTCGTGTTTATTGTTTTCATCGCTAATAAATATTTTAACCCAAAGGCAAGCGACCACGAATGTCTTGCAAAACATTAGCGTTCCCAATTCCACGATATCAAGGGTAGCTACGAACACGAATTTTGCCCCAATCTCTTCAAATCCGTTGGATCAAATTTTGACATCACAGACATTAAATTTGGTCATATACAAACAATCCCGTGAAATTGAAGATGTATTGACAAAGATTCATAAAATCTTAGATGAATTTGAGGAGATTTTGAAGTCGATGGAGAACTTATTGTCGCAGAATAATAAGATCTTGTTTGGACCATTGATGACCGCCAACGCGTCATCATCAGTGTCAACGAGTTCTGCGCAGCCTTCCCTTCCAACTTCATCAAAAAAATCTTCGGGAAAAAAGAATAAGCCTTCGTCAAATTCAAAACAGACTTTAAAGTCGAGTGCCCCCAAGAAACGGTTTCTCCCAGATGAACGAAAACTAAATGACGTGACTGATATTCAAATACCCTTGTCAAATTATTATATTTCGGAGATTACTCGAATGTATGAACAGGAATTAACGCATAAGCGTAATTTGGTATTTGGTGGTGCTTTAAAGATTGATCATAATAAAATCGAGGGGGAGGGTGGAGTCAAGATGGTCGGCGAGCGGTGGGCCGCGCAACCTTGCATCGATTTCGAGGCCGAAGAAATGATGTCAGATAGAATTAAAGTGTGGAAAATGGCAAAAGAGATCGGACAGTGATGGTCTCCACTCACAAGATGAATGAAACACAAAAACCAGGAGATTGAATTTATGATTGCATTTTTCACCGAATAACTTTGTCTTACATAAAAATCGAGTTTGTTTACAAATAAAACATTTATTTTATTAATTCTAAAAAAATAAATTTATTCTGGTGTGGTTGAAGAAAATAAAAATCTTGTCAGGCAAATGATTTTTAGAAGAGTTCAATAAATCACTTACTGTATATCACTTACTTATAGTAAAAAGATTTCTATCAAATAGATAGTACTGTATAAAATTATGATAATGTTACAAACTATATTAAACGAATGGTAAAAATAATGCTTGATAAAATTTTTCATTATTTCTATATATTGAAAACAATCATTTTATAGAATATTATGTGTCATGTTAAAGTAGTCAAAGCAATAGAATATATAATTTAGTAAAAAAAAATTCTTTTTTTTCATTATACCCAAAATCTATTGTAGATTTAAAAATAGAGAGAAGATGTTTTATCAAGATATTAACAACCATTTATTATAAATTGTTTAAAAATATAAAGCATGGAATAATTTTTTAAATAAAACTATTAGATTCAATTATAATAAAAAAAAATAATAATATAGATTAAAGTGAAATAATATGGATTAAAATAAAATAATATTATTTTACTTTAAGGAATTTTTTGCAATCTACTATTAAGCATAAATAATAATATTTTGTTTTAAGGAATTTTTTGCAATCTACTATTAAGCATAAATATATACAGTATATCTTTATTATAATTTACTAAAAAAATTATTACATACTTTTTTTATTTTTTTAATATTTCCTGTAAAAAAAATTTTTTTAAGTTGTATAATAAATATTTTAAATTTTAATTTGATATTTCATATGTTTATCTTTGTTCTTAATAATTTTTTTATATAATTAGATATACTTAAAATTAAGTAATAAATTATATTTAAGCTAATATTTGTCTATTTATTTTATACTATTTCTATTAACTTTAATCTAAACTTAAATAAAAAATTTTCTTATATATTAGATAGTTCAAATAATTTTATAAATTTTCAATTAAATTAAAAATTGAATTTTATATTATTTAATCTAAAATTCAAAAATCATGAATCACTGTTTATCAAGTTGTATATAAAAATATTTAATATATTATACTATCCTATTAAAATATAATATTTGGATTTTTATAAGTTTATGATCTAAGATAGATAATAAAAATATTAATATATATATTAGAATTCATATTTTCTATTATTTTCATTAAAAAACAGATTTTTGTTCTAATTAAAGTAATATCAAAACATTATAGATTTCTTATAAAATTTAATAGTGAATATAATATAGTCTTTATTATATATTTCATCAATTTTCCACTATATTCTAACTCAACTATTTGAATTAAAAAATATAAATTTAAATCTATTAAACTAGATAATATTTTTTTTTCTTTTTTTTTTTTCTTTATATCACTTTAATTATATAATTTATTATTTTTTCATAAAATATAGTTTTTTATATAATATTAAATTTTTAAGATTATATTATTTTTATTTTTATTTTTTTTTTAATACCCTAGGTCAGGCTAAGTACATGTGCTTTATTAAACGTTTGTATACTGTACATTTTAAATGATTCACTAAAGTTAAGACTTTACTTAATTCACTCGTCACTGTTTTGTCTTAATATATCAAAACTCTAAGTACAACTTCGGAAGTAATTTATCGCTCCATTAATAGTTCAGGTAAATACCCTTCCAACCTTTAACATCATTATCTGCAGATCACCACTGCAAATCACTATCCGTTGTTCTGATCAAGCTTAAAACCCAACCACTTCATTCTATAAATAACACCTTTGAGTAAAATTTCTTTCAGGCTTTTATTTTTTTAAGTTCCTTCCTCTGATAAAGGATCTTTATTTTTGAGAACTAATGTTTTAAGTTGTGTATGCCTGAGAGTCAGTTAATTTTTTCTACTTTGCGAACCCCCTGTGAGTATTTCCATTCAATTATCTTCTTACATCTTTTGTTCCAAATCTTTTTCCTTATTTGGTTGCACACTCTTCTTTGCATCTTTAATATCTATCTTCTTGCCTTATTACCAATTCTTTTTCCATAGCATTTTAGATCTGTTATTTTTAGGATTAGGTCTCTCCTTACTAGCTCTGTACAAAAACTTAAAGTGTCCTGACTGGTTTTTGAAGTCTATTCTACTAGTTTAGAGATCTATATATCCACCTCGGCCATTTCTTCTTTGTTTTGAATAATCAACCTTGCATGTTTTTTTTCTGCCTCTTTTTTCCTCTCTTGTAAGAGCCCTGTGAAGTCTCTAAGGATCCCATCTTATCCTTTATTCCATACTTCCTATAATTGTTTTTTATATACTGAATACTCTATAAATGTTTATAAGTTTCACTTTGCTGGCTACATATAATATACTTCACTTGTTTGTAAAGTTCAGATCTTCTAGTTGCCAGCTTATTTAGAGTTGGTAGCTCATCATTCATTAGTTTTATGAGGAAGCTTTTTCATTGCAATTGTTTAAAAGAAGTGTCCCAGGTGTATCCTTCTTTTATTCTTTCCCATACAAGGTTTCAAGTATAATCTTGCTGTTTTATAATTTGGTGGTTCCATTTTTTTTCAGTTCTGTTTTGTTGTGTCCACTGGAAGGCAGTTGTTTTATTGTTTACTTTTTTGACAAACTGTCTTAATGAGTCATCTAGTATCTTTTCTTGCTATCTAATTTCTGTGATAATCTTGTATAAGATCAGTTTTTTCCATTCTATTACCAGGAGTTTCAAAGCTTCTTTGGTTAGGACATCTGCTTCTTCATTGTAAGGATCATTGGAATATGCCTTAACCTTGATAAGTTGCAGGTTTATGATCTTTTTCTTTACCAATTCTAACATTTATACCCACAGGAACCAGTTTTTTTCCTTTAACCATCTTTTAAGAGTTTGCTTTGGATCTTTTCTTTCTATTGTTTTTCACTTGGAGATATAGGCCTGGCTGTCTATATGGATTTCTACGTTGCTACCCACTGGAACCACCAGAAGTATTGTAACAATTGCTACAAGTTCAGCATGTATTGAGGAGGGCCAATTGTCTATTCTTGTCTGAAATCTACTTTCTCTATCCATATCTCCTATCTGGATCCATACTACTCCCATTTTTATTTCTTCCTTTCCATGATTAATGAGCGATCTATCAGAGTAGAAGATTAGTTTTTTAACATTGAATCTTAGATTATATTGAAGTATTTCTATTAGATGGTCCTGATATACTTCTTCTATAACATTGTCTCTAATGATAATCTCTTCTTATCTTTTGATATCTACTCAATTCACTATATTGGTTGGAGCTAAGATTTGAGTATTTAAATCCATGTTAGTAACCTTTTCCATTGTTACTTCTAATGATGCCTTGGAATAGAGAATTGTTAGTTCTTGAGCTCTTCTGGTTGACTTTCTTGTATTGAAATATGAAACTTCATATACATCTTTCATATCTCTCTCTAATATACATCCCCTTCTTGTTTTGTATCCTCTGGGTATCCTGGACACTTTGTTAATATCGTTGTTTGAGTATTATCATTACTACAGCAGTTGAAGTATTCGATATTGACTTTGTGTCCTACTTTTATCTATTGTAGTTTTCCCCAAATTATGTGATGCCCAGTTTTCTTTGTAATTATCCATAGTTTTTATCATTTGTCACAATCTGGATTAATTGCAATATATTCTGATTTCCACTTTGTCCAATCTTTTTTCCACGTACTAATGAGTTGACCTATCTTATTACTTGGAAAAGTTTTGATTAAAGCTTGAAACCATTCAGAAATAAGACCTTTACTGATGTACTGAAATAGTTGGAGCATTTGCCAATCCCTAATTTCTTTAATAGCTTGATCGATTAGCTGGTCTACATACAGCAGTTTATTATTTCTTAGTAATAGTATGGCTTTTATATATTCTTCTATTGTAAAGTGTTCCTTAATTAAACTATTTCCTTTGTTTCATTTGAAGACTTCTTGTCATTTCCAACTATGAAAGGTTCTTTCTATATCTTTAGCCAACTTTATTACTTGGGGCGTGAAGTTTCCTCTATCTGGTAGGTGATTTAGAGAGTTGCATATTAATAGGTTAAGCAGTTCCCAATTCTTTATTTGTGCTTGTTTGAGTCAGATAATTGTTGTGCTTCTTGCGGGACCAGGATCATTTAGTCTATTACATAATCCTGTTATTTGACTTTCTCGCTGGAGCATCTAGATGCTTTTCAAGTTGTGAATCTTTGGATGATGTATTATACTAATAGGTATAGATCTATATACGGTACTCTTGGTTTTGAAAAGCTTTCTATATATTGCCATTAAAGTATTACATATTTTTCAGATAGTATACTATGCTGCATCCTGAATTCTATCCTTGGAATTAATACCCTATTTAGAATATACAGAGTTTGTTTATTTGTTAATTTCTTATTTTTAAGAGCTCTGGTTATTACATTGATTTCTTTTAGCACCCTCTCTTTGAGTTCAACTGCAGTTTTTTGATTGCCGGTCCAGATTCCTAGAAATATTGTATATTCTGCCCTGCTAAGCTCCTTTATCATTTCCTTTTCTATACTGGCCTAAACTTCTTCTGAATAGTGATTAGGATTGTTAATAGTAATTAGAATTGATTTATTATTATTGATTTGGGAATCGTTGGCTTTATAGAAGACTCTCGCAGTTTCGAGGATTTCTTCTATATCCTTTTTGAATCTTGCTATCCATGTTGTATTATTCATAAAGACTATATCTGCATGTCTTGATTCTAGCCTTCTTGTGACCTGTTCTTTGAGGTCTGGATTTCAGGTGACTGACATTTTGTATCTCCTTTCTTTGTCATTCTGAATCTTGCAAAGTAAAGGATCATAGAATATTTGCCATAGCAGTGGTAAGATAATTTCCTCGTGATCAATGCCATCCCCAGCTTTTATAAGTTCTGTGAGATTA